CGATCCATCTCAGCCTTGGGCGACCGGTTTGGTCGTATGCCCTGTTCTAAGATAATCTTTTTTTTTTTTTTAATGCGTTGCGGTGGGGATGGGGAAGAGATAGACCCAGATGTAGGTCATCGTCCGTGTCACAATTAGTTTCAGGAATACCAAGTGCAACCCTAGAGGAAAAGTGGCTTGTTTTGCAGGTTGATTGGAGGCTCGAGCCCGTGAAATCCCACCTCCGTAATAAGAAACCAAAAAAATGTATATATCCTAAGAACTTTGCACCATTTATATGATAAACATATCGATGTATCTATTTATTTTGATATTTGCATTCGGTTATTTTTTTTTTATAAATAGCCGACTTACTGAATAGTTTAAAGTGTAGCATTGCTCCAATAATTGGCCATTGGTCAATTCCACTAGGCCCTGGAATCTCTTCATAAGGTCTAGCCTCCACCTGCTCGCTGGCAGCATTCTCAACACTTGTGACAATGCGTATGTGAATACTATGTAAACTAGTCAAGCGATGCAGCGATTTCTTGCAAAGTTCTCTGGCTGTCGTCAACATTTTATATTGTCAACAACAACAACAACAACAAAAAAACACATAAATACACATGTTAGCATGTATCACATTATATATGTATTTATCATATATATATATATATATATATATATATATATGTATACAGTGCTTTTTTTTGTAAAAAAATAAGTGCCGGTACTCAGTAGTGGATTGCCTAACTTTGAACTACCAGTTCGCACCTCGATACAACCTAAATCACAACTGCAAAGATACTAAATGTCTAAAACAATTTTATTTTATAATTAACCAACTTAAATTGTTTTATTATTACTTTATTAGTATACCGTATACACTTGTTATGATTTGTAAAATTTAACTAACAACTTATTCAAGTTATTCTTGATAGTTCCATTAGGGTTTCTTCTGTGACATTGGCTTCTGCCGTTATTTCTTCAGTCAGTCTGGTTTTCTTACTTACCGGCAAAGTCCCAGTCGGAATATCGATTGAATGCGAAAAGAAATCAGAAGTTTTCTTCATTTCCAAAGTGGGCTAAGAAATAAGTATTACTTAAATTATCAATTTCTAACTGCGCTCGTTTTAATTTCTTTAAGTCTTAATTATTACATTCAAATTTTGAAATTTTTAAGGCACTACGTCTTAAAAACAACCATGACCAGAAATAGGTTAATAACCAATGACGTGACATTACGAGTGTGTGCGCAAAGCAGTTTCGCATTTTATATTTTAATTCTTATTGCGCGCAATTTTAAAATAATTCAATTTTAACAAATTAATAATATAATAAATTAATAATAAACGTTAAAATATAAGGAAAGTAGTCATGTTTTCCCCACATTGAAAAAGGTGCCGGTACGCATGAGGCACGCCACGATCTAGCATAAAATGCTAGTCGAAATCAAGTACTAATCAAATTAAATGTTAATTCCAGGAACTTACAACTGTATGTGTAATATTTCTGCTACTGTGAAGGTTGTATATTTTTAACGTCAAATGTGTATTTATTTCTTTGTGTGTCTATTCTTCGTGTCATTGTTCATGTTTTATTCCATAAATAAAAAGTACCGTTACGTTCAGCTGCTTGTCTTCATTTCAGCCACTAGTGGGTCTAAAATCTATCTGTGCTAGCAAGAAGTGGGTCAAAAATCTAGCTGTCCTAGCAAGAAGTGCGTCTAAAATCTAACTGTACTAGCAAGAAGTGGGTCTTAAATATAACTGTGCCAGCAAGAAACGGGTCTAAAATCTAATAGTGTTAGCCAGAAGTGTGTCTGAAATTTAATAGTTTTAGCCAGTAGTGTGTCTAAAATATAATAGTGTTAGCCAGTAATGTGTCTAAAATATAATAGTGTTACCCAGTAGTGTGTCTAAAATCTAATAGTGTTAGCCAGAAGTGTGTCTAAAATCTAATAGTGTTAGCCAGTAGTGTGTCTAAAATATAATAGTGTTAGCCAGTAGTGTGTCTAAAATATAATAGTGTTAGCAAGTAATGTGTCTAAAATATAATAGTGTTAGCCAGTAGTATGTCCAAAATCTAATAGTGTTAGCCAGTAGTGTGTCTAAAATCTAATAGTGTTAGCCTGTAGTGTGTCTAAAATATAATAGTGTTAGCCTGTAGTGTGTCTAAAATCTAATAGTGTTAGCCAGAAGTGTGTCTAAAATATAATAGTGTTAGCCAGTAGTGTGTTTAAAATATAATAGTGTTAGCCAGTAGTGTGTCTAAAATATAATAGTGTTATTCAGTAGTGTTTTTACCTGTGTTAGCACCCTTATAATTATCTCCTAGACCACGAACTTGTTCAACTTATCGGTTAGGAACAATATCTACAAGCATAACAATATCTACAAGTATAACAATATCTACAAGTATAACAATATCTACAAGTACAGCATTATCTACAAGTACAGCATTATCTACAAGTGTAATATTCCAAGGCACAGTAAGAAATCATGCAAAAGGCTACATCAAAATGCCTTTTTTATTTTTGTTTATCATACAAAAAGTATTATTCCAACTATTATTTCAGCTTAATCAGAATAATTACCAAGTAACTGTCGTAACGATTCACGGAAAAAATGGTTTAGAAGAACGATCCTCGGATAACATTCCACAAGGCTGTACACTGTTACATGCCTTAATATTCCCCACATAAAACTGGTGCTGGCAAAATGAGGGCATTTGGTGTTGCATTCCCAGATGCGTAGCTTTGTAAAAGAATAGCCCAGTAAAGGAGCTGCGTTTCGAGGACTTGAATGGCTAAAAAAAATTGTCGTTCAGTTGAGACTCAATGGCCCCAGACCTTAAACTCGGATCAAAACCTAGGTTTGCTAGGAGACACTGGTTGTTGGGCAACGCCAAGTGGACTCTGTTCCAGGAGAGAACAGAGAGTATGATTGCGGAATAAACAGGGACTCCCAATACTCCCAAAAGCACTGATGCTGCATATGACGACTTTGTGAGTGGTATCCTCACAGTGGCAAAGAAAACAATTCCAAGAACTAATGGGAACCGCAAGTTCCACCCATTTTGGAATAAGGGGTTGGCTAAGATGGTCCGTGAACGAAAGAGAGCTCGGACCAAAGCTCGAAAGTTGAAGACGGCCGCTGCTCGTGCGGCTTACAACAGACTGACGGCAGAAGTCCGAAAGGAGGTCCGAAGTCTGCGTCCGTTGCAAACGACAACAGGCACGGCTACCACACATGCCAAAGTGCCGATGCTCTAAACAATCATTTTGCAAAGATCAATGGGAAGCAGAAAGAGACCAGAGAGAGCAAAAACGAAATGGAGAAGTGGCTTAAAAGTGGGGGCCGCATGCAAAGGTCTTTACCGCAACTTTCACTATGGTTGAATTGCAAACCGCCACCGACAAGTGGTGAGGGTCTGAGATTATTCACTTATGACCCCGGCTAGTAAATTGGCTATCAACTCCATCTGTTGAGCTGAGCGATACAACAGAGTCCACTTGGCTTTGCCCAACAACCAGTGTCTCCTAGCAAACCTAGGTTTCGAAAGCGCAAGACAAATTGTAATGAGGGTAGGCTTGTGGTCACTGCCAACCTCATCCAGGACTTCGCACTGGGTCTTTGCCTCGAGCTCGGCTGAGACCAGTGTTACATCGGGGCGTGACATCGCACTGTTGCCCGTCTGAAGCAGTATTGGTTCACAGTCGCCGTTTTGCAGTCTGATGAGGTTGGTCGTGAGCTCAATCTCCACTAGGTAGCGCCCAGAGGCGTTTGTATCGGGATAGCCACATATCCCCCATATGGGCGTTACAATCCCCAGTTATAACCCGATCACTAAAAAGTGTTGTGCCCTGCAAGGGCAGGCACAAAGTGTTACTAGGGGTGTTATACATTTTACTGATGGTAAAGAACTTCCCCCCTACTACTACTCTCAGGCTCAGAGTAACCGTCCCACCAATGTTTCTGCTCTCTACCAGTTCCGCTGTGAGTTGGTTTTTCACGAGAGTTACCAAGCCTCGGCACCTTACGCAGGTGCAGCGGTAAACTGAAAAGCCCGAGATGTGCAATGGGTGCTATTTCAGTAATGTCTCCTGTAATAGAGCTACGTCCACTTCCCGGCTGTGGAGTAGTTTGGTGAGATCGGTTATTTTCCCTCTGACCCCGTTGCAGTTAAGCTGGAAAACTACTCAAGTTTTGGGGAGGTAACCAGCGGCATCTTGCCTAGTGCTCCCAGTAGCACAAAAGCCTGCAGTCGTCCTGAGCCCCGTCACGATCTGCAGGGGAGGAGGGGATTCGAGTTAGTCTCGCTTAGAGTCATGTGTATTTTACTAGCCAAGTAAAAAGAATATTGTTTAGGCTTTATTTTCTTACGTTCTCCCGGGTGAAAGTTACAAGTAAACTCCCCCTTCACCTTGGGAGACAGACGTAGAGACGTGAGTTTTTTAGCTTCGGGATAGTCAAGTCGACCCTCCTAGTTGGTCGCGCCACGTAGAGGCAAAACTCTTGCGGGGACCACCGAGGTGGGAGGTGGTCCTTTGGGAGGTGGTCCTTTGGGAGGTGGTCCTTTGGGAGGTGGTCCTTTGGGAGGTGGTCCTTTTACCGACAAACTTACTCAATTTGGTCATAGTATAAAACTTATTTAACTTGACCAGAGTCTCAAACTTATGTAACTTGACCACAGACTCAAACTTACTTAACTTGACCACAGTTACAACCTTACTCAATTTGGTCATAGTATCAAACTTTATTAACTTTACCACAGTCTCAAACTTATTTAATTTGACCACACACTCAAACTTTCTTAACTTGACCACAGTTACAAACTTACTCAATTTTGTCATAGTATCAAACTTATTTTACTTGACCACAGTTACAAACTTATTTAGCTTGACCACAGTTACAAACTGATTTAACTTGACCACAGTTTCAAACTTACTTAACTTGACCACATTTACAAACTTATTTAACTTGACCACAGTTACAAACGTATTTAACTTGACCACAGTTACAAACTTATTTAACTTGACCACAGTTACAAACTTATTTAACTTGACCACAGTTACAAACTTGTTTAACTTGACCACAGTTACAAACTTATTTAACTTGACCACAGTTGCAAACTTATTTAACTTGACCACATTTACAAACATATTTAATTTGACCACAGTCTCAAAGTTATTTATCTTGACCACAGACTCAAACTTACTTAACTTGACCACAGTTACAAGCTTACTCAAATTGGTCATAGTATCAAACTTATTTAACTTGATCACAGTGACAAATTTATTTAACTTGAAAACAGTCTCAAACTATTTTTACTTAACCAAAGTCTCAAATTATGATCAAACAAAAGTGTGTTCAACAGCCATTATTTTATTTCAATGTTTTATTCATATGTTATTGTCTATTATTTTTGTCAATATTATAATGTTAAAGGTAAGTTCTATTGCTTTTTTAAATCTAAATTTTTCGTCCTTGAAATAATTATAAACAAATCATGTCGTTTATTTATCAGGGCGTAATATGTCGCGATAATTCAGTTTAAATCTGCATTTATTTGTGTGTACCATTTAGTGGAGTAGTGCGCCAATGGATAACTACTCTTTTACCCCGGACCTCCTCAAATTTTCCGCTGAGAGTGAAGATATATCTTTCGTCGTTGGCAAGGTCATCGATGCGGTCAGCAGCGTCAGAGTAAGCGTGTTTCATTTCGTACCACATCCACGGTCTGCTGTTGGTGTCACTCTCTCGTTTGAGTGCAGTGTAGAAAGGTACTTTGCTGTCTCCGAACCTGTAATTGACTGTCGGGCGGTCGCCACTGCCATGATACTGGTAGTGGTAATTTGTTCTTGGGTGGTAAGGACCTCCTCCCCACCGCATAAATCCCTGAAGCTCAGTTGAAAATTTTACTACGATGGTCGCAGTGTAGGTCACGGTCGTGCGTACCTTGGATAGGATCATATCCCACTTTGCGGCTGAGTAAGGCTTGATGGTTTTGGATGAGTTGACAGTGAACGTGTTGGACTGTTGGTTGTTGGTCTCATCTGTAACTCTCGATGAAGACTCGTAGTAAAAATTGTAGGACGCTGAGAATCCGGAGCCACCGGTGAAGAAGGAAGGTGTGTAGCTGAAGGTTAGACCCAATTCGTGACCGTTTTTCCAAGAGCTCGTCTTCGTGTGAGTCACACGTCTCACGCTTGTCTGAGATCTGTGAATGCTTTTTGTAACTTTCGTATTATCATTGTTGTAAATTGTCCCACTGTCGATGGATTCCGGCTTCAAATACTCTATGACTGGATCACCATATTTTATGTCTTTCATGGAAAAGCCCCAGTCGCCGTATGCCATAGCGAGGCGCTGCTCGTTCATGTACCCCTGACAAGCCCTGCTTTTGTCAGCCCGCCAAGTATCGCCATCCCGTCTGAAATCCTCACCCGTGTAAAGAGCTCTGCATCCAGCGCACCAGCCGTAACCCAGGTAACTTGCTATGAAAGCGATGTCTGACATAGTTGTGTCCATGACACGGGACTTGACCTTGTAGAGATCGTCCAGATCTTCAGGCTTGTCGGCCATCTTGCAGCATTTCAGGGTCTCCAGGCAATAAAGGTTGTCACAAGTTCCTCGGTATAGTCCTGCTACTAAGTAATCATCCTTGCACTTGCACAAACCTTTATCATCAAAGCAAACACTGATATCCTCATCGTAACACTGCCCGTAGTAATTCGGATGGTCAGCGGGTTTTGTGCATCTACCATCTTCTATGTTGTGAAGCAAACCAGGGAATTGTCCACTTCTGTACAGACCTTGAAGGAAATAGCCAGCCGGACAATTGGCCCACACGTTGTTGTTGTCAAAGAGTTTGGTCCAATCCGCGAAGACCGTCTGCGTTCCAGAGCTAGTCCATGGCGAGTTCGGGGAGCAACACTGGGCACCTTCTATCAGACCTATTCCGTCATCACTACTCCAGCTCCATCTGGCACTTCGATAGAAGCCTCGTATGTAGGTATTATCTATTTCACATTGAGAATGTCCTTCCTTGTCAAAGTTGAGGAGCCATTCAGTCATTGAGCATGTGCCTTGGCCACCTACTAGTAGGTTTAAAAGTATGAGCAAGCTAAGACCAATTCCCTTCATGGTCCGTGTGTCTTTTTTAACACAACCTATGGAAACAATTTAAACAAATTTCCTTTTTTACCACAGTTTTAAGAGAAAAAATTTTAAACAAATTACCCTTTTCTACCACAACCTAAAGACTCATTTTTCAAAACGTTTACTTTTCTACCACAACCTAAAGAAACAATTTTAAACCCATTTTACTTTTTTTACATCAATCTTAAGACACAATTTAAAACAAATTTACTTTTTTTTTTAATACTATCATCAATTCATCTTATTCGACCAGACACCAAAGAGTAAAAAACAATCTCTCTATATATACATGAATGTCTGTCTGTCTGTCTGTCTGTCTGTCTGTCTGTCTGTCTGTCTGTCTGTCTGTCTGTCTATCTATCTGTCTGTCTGTCTGTCTGTCTGTCTGTCTGTGTGTGTGTTTGTGTGTGTGTGTGTGTGTGTCTGTCTGTGTGTCTGTGTGTCTGTGTGTGTCTGTCTTTGTGCGTCTGTGTGTTTGTGTGTGTGTCTGTGTGTGTGTGTGTCTGTGTGTGTGTGTGTGTGTCTGTGTCTGTCTGACTGATAGAAGTGGGTATGAAGTGCTGATTAGATGTGGGTATGCAGCGCTGTTATAAATGGTTAGGCATCGCTGTTAGAAGTTGTCATGCAGCGCTTATAGAAGAGGGTATGTGGAGCCGATAGAGGTGGGTATGCAGTGCTGTTAGAAGTTACTACGCAGTGCTAAAAGAGGTGTGTATGGTGCGCTTATAAATGTGTGATTGCAGCGTTGATTGTATTGGGTATTCAGCGCTGATAGAAGTGGGTATGTAACCCTGGTAGAATTGAGTATGCAGTGCTGATAGAAGTGGGAATTTAGTCTTCATAGAAGTTGGTATGCAGCGCTGTGAGAAGTGACTATGCAGCTCTAATAGAAGTAGGTATACAGCGCTGATAGAATAGGGATTACAGCGATGATAGAAAAGGGTATTCAGCGCTGATAGAATAGGGACTTCAGCGATGATAGAATAGGGACTTCAGCGATGATAGAATAGGGACTTCAGCGATGATAGAATAGGGTACTCAGCGATGATAGAATAGGGTATTCAGCGCTAATAGAAGTAGGTATACAGCGCTAATAGAAGTAGGTATACAGCGCTAATAGAAGTAGGTATACAGCGCTGATAGAATAGGGTTTACAGCGCTGATAGAATAGGGACTTCAGCGATGATAGAATAGGATATGCAACGATGATAGAATAGGGTATGTAAAGCTGAAAGAATTTGCTTTGCAGGGCTGATAGATGTGGGTATGTGGCGCTGATAGAAGTGATTATGTGGCGCTGATAGAAGTGGGTATGTGGCGCTGATAGAAGTGATTATGTGGCGCTGATAGTAGTGGGTATGTGGCGCTGATAGAAGTGGTTATGTGGCGCTGATAGTAGTGGGTATGTGCCGCTGATAGAAGTGATTATGTGGCGCTGATAGAAGTGGTTATGTGGCGATGATAGTAGTGGGTATGTGGCGCTGATAGTAGTGGGTATGTGGCGCTGATAGAAGTGATTATGTGGCGCTGATAGAAGTGGTTATGTGGCGCTGATAGTAGTGGGTATGTGGCGCTGATAGAAGTGATTATGTGGCGCTGATAGAAGTGGGTATGTGGCGCTGATAGAAGTGGTTATGTGGCGCTGATAGAAGTGGGTATGTGGCGCTGATAGAAGTGGGTATGTGGCACTGATAGAAGTGGTTATGTGGCGCGGATAGAAGTGATTATGTGGCGCTGATAGAAGTGGGTATGTGGCGCTGATAGAAGTGGGTATGTAGCGCTGATAGAAGTGGTTATGCAGCGCTGATAGAAGTGGGTATGTGGCGCTGATAGAAGTGGGTATGTAGCGCTGATAGAAGTGGGTATGTGGCGCTGATAGAAGTGGTTATGTGGCGCTGATAGTAGTGGGTATGTGGCGCTGATAGAAGTGATTATGTGGCGCTGATAGAAGTGGTTATGTGGCGATGATAGTAGTGGGTATGTGGCGCTGATAGTAGTGGGTATGTGGCGCTGATAGAAGTGATTATGTGGCGCTGATAGAAGTGATTATGTGGCGCTGATAGAAGTGATTATGTGGCGCTGATAGAAGTGATTATGTGGCGCTGATAGAAGTGATTATGTGGCGCTGATAGTAGTGATTATTTGGCGCTGATAGAAGTGTGTATGTGGCGCTGATAGTAGTGGGTATATGGCGCTGATAGAAGTGATTATGTGGCGCTGATAGTAGTGGTTATGTGGCGCTGCTAAAAGTGATTATGTGGCGCTGATAGAAGTGGGTATGTGGCGCTGATAGAAGTGGGTATGGGGCGCTGATAGGAGTGGGTATGTGGCGCTGATAGAAGTGGGTATGATGCGCTGATAGTAGTGGTTATGTGGCGCTGATAGAAGTGATTATGTGGCGCTGATAGAAGTGGGTATGTGGCGCTGATAGAAGTGGTTATGTGGCGCTGATAGTAGTGGGTATGTGGCGCTGATAGAAGTGATTATGTGGCGCTGATAGAAGTAATTATGTGGCGCTGATAGAAGTGATTATGTGGCGCTGATAGTAGTGGTTATGTGGCGCTGATAGAAATGAGTATGTGGCGCTGATAGAAGTGATTATGTGGCGCTGATAGTAGTGGGTATGTGGCGCTGATAGTAGTGGTTATGTGGCGCTGATAGAAGTGATTATGTGGCGCTGATAGAAGTGGGTATGTGGCTCTGATAGAAGTGGTTATGTGGCGCTGATAGTAGTGGGTATGTGGCGCTGATAGAAGTGATTATGTTGCGCTGATAGAAGTGATTATGTGGCGCTGATAGAAGTGATTATGTGGCGCTGATAGAAGTGATTATGTGGCTGATAGAAGTGGTTATGTGGCGTTGATAGAAGTGGGTATGTGGCGCTTATAGAAGTGGGTATGTGGCTCTGTTAGAAGTGATTATGTGGCGCTGATAGAAGTGATTATGTGGCGCTGATAGAAGTGATTATGTGGCGCTGATACAAGTGGGTATGTGGCACTGATAGTAGTGGGTATGTGGCGCTGATAGAATTGGGTATGTGGCGCTGATAGAAGTGGGTATGTGGCGCTGATAGAAGTGGGTATGTGGCGCTGATAGAAGTGATTATGTGGCGCTGATAGAAGTGATTATGTGGCGCGGATAGAAGTGGGTATGTGGCGCTGATAGAAGTGATTATGTGGCGCTGATAGAAGTGATTATGTGGCGCTGAAAGAAGTGATTATGTGGCGCTGATAGAAGTGATTATGTGGCGCTGATAGAAGTGATTATGTGGCGCTGATAGAAGTGATTATGTGGCGCTGATAGAAGTGAGTATGTGGCGATGATAGAAGTGATTATGTGGCGCTGATAGAAGTGATTATGTGGCGCTGATAGAAGTGATTATGTGGCGCTGATAGAAGTGATTATGTGGCGCTGATAGTAGTGATTATGTGGCGCTGATAGAAGTGATTATGTGGCGCTGATAGAAGTGATTATGTGGCGCTGATAGAAGTGGGTATGTGGCGCTGATAGAAGTGATTATGTCGCGCTGATAGAAGTGATTATGTGGCGCTGATAGAAGTGATTATGTGGCGCTGATAGAAGTGGTTATGTGGCGCTGATAGAAGTGATTATGTGGCGCTGATAGAAGTGAGTATGTGGCGCTGATAGAAGTGATTATGTGGCGCTGATAGAAGTGATTATGTGGCGCTGATAGAAGTGGGTATGTGGCGCTGATAGAAGTGATTATGTGGCGCTGATAGAAGTGGTTATGTGGCGATGATAGTAGTGATTATGTGGCGCTGATAGAAGTGGGTATGTGGCGCTGATAGTAGTGGTTATGTGGCGCTGATAGAAGTGATTATGTGGCGCTGATAGAACTTTTTATCAGGCGATGATAGTAGTGGGTATGTGGCGCTAATAGGAAATGGTATGCAGCGCTTACATGACTTATTCAAGTGTGTGTATGGCACTAAGCGGCTGATGGAAATATATATATGTGGTACTATTATTAAGGGGTTGGTCGCATCATTTAAAACGTATACTATATGTACGATTTTTATTAGTGCCCACTGAAATGTTTTATTTTGTGCTGATGTTGTTTTTTATGTTTTTGTTAAATTTTTATTAATACCCCCCCCCCACACCCTTTTTTTTCTTCCAAATATTTTGAAGAAAAAATAATTTCATTTGACGACAATTACCTTAATAAGTCATGACTGTTACAGAAAACTTGGCTGTACCGACTATTTGATAGATAATGAAGTGTAAATGATGTAAATCAATTCAAATTTTATATTTTGCAGTTTGCCACTTACCTGTTATGAAAAAAATACTGGTTGTTTGAAGCCGATTTCAGGTGAAATGTTTCAGAGCAGCACCCCTGCTTGGCACTGAAATAATAATAATAATAATAAGACGTCTTATATAGCGCGGTACCCCAACCTAAGGCTGGGCTCACCGCGCTGTACATAAAAATTTTATCAAAAGAGACATAATCATGACATTAAAATAAAATACATTAATGAAATATAGAACTGCAATGTATATTCACGTACCCCACCACATAACTTTTACAAGGCAAACCATGGACGGCAGCCAGCAAGATCGTTTATCGGTCAGAGGAGGGGAATCAGTCAGGGTAGCATAATTTTAAAAAATATGTTTTGAGTGCAGTTTTGAAGGCCTGGGTGGTTGGTATATTGCGTATGTGTAGTGGCAAAGAATTCCATTGTTTGGGGGCGCAGAAAGAGAAAGATCGTTCACCATATGTTTTAGTGTGTGTCTTGGGAACGGACAGAATACGCGTGTCTGCAGAGGAGCGAAGCTGTCGAAGGGGTGAATAGACAGAAAGAAATTCGGTTAGATAGGAAGGGCAGGAATCCAAGAAAAAGTTGTGACAGAGAACAGACAACTTGTAGTCAATGCGTGCCTGTATAGGTAGCCAATGAAGGGAATGGAGTAGTGGAGTGACGTGATCAGGGTTTTTTTGCCTTTAAAACTAGCTAGCAGCTGAGTTTTGAACCTTCTGTAGTTTTTCTATGCAGTGTTTTGTTGAACCTGACAGAAGAGAGTTGCAATAGTCAAGACGAGAGAGAACAAGAGCACAGACTAGAGTTTTTGTAGCGCTCACTCTGAGGTAGTGGCGTATGGAGCTGATCTGACGGATAGTGGTGTATGCTGAACGACAAATGTGAGATATGTGAGAAATACCCACAGGACCCGATAATTAACATTAATGGAGAAGCTAATGGAGATTTTCTTATTAACTTAGAAAATAATATATTTATAATTAGGTTATTGGGAGAAAAATATATTCTAATGTTCAATTTGTACCATAATTAAGAACTTAAATATTAATTATTTTTTTCCTTAAAGACAAAGGACAGGTTGTCAATATGGTATTCAACATTGCCAATGTTAATAAAGTCTAAAGTGTTCAACTCCATCAATAATTGCTTACATGCATGCACATGCATAAAATATCACGCAGTTTAATTTGTTTGAAATAAATTCAGGTATTAGACCTAGATCTCTACAAACTTATTTTGTATAGTAGTACACAAATTGTAATGTAATGTTCAATGGTTTTATAAGAACGAACTCATGAGCCAAAATAGTATATAGTTATTTATTGATATGTAAGTGTCATTTTCATGAAGAGAACAGGGAGCATGTCGAAATGCCTTTCCTATGGGCGTTTTGACTCAACAAGAATAGAATTAGGCCTATATGCGAGGACGAATAATTGTAACTTGAATGTTTGATTAAAAGGTTTTCTTTTTATGCTCTTTCTACACACCACTTTCCATAGGACTCGAACGCTCTTAGGAGTGATACATTTGGTGATTGGGGGGGGGGGGCAAAATTATTAGGCGGGATAATGACTTTGAATGATCGACCATGTATGCATGCACAGTTAAGTTTAATCAAAGTATCCCAAACTTTCCTAAATTTTATTAACAAAATCCTTTTGTTGATAACGTTAATTTGGTTAGAACCAACAATGGCCAGTACGTGCGCGCACTTTAAATTCTGACAACATTTACATATGCATCAACGTGATACATCCAACACAACATATGTTCCCGTTTATGACAGTAGTCTTATGATTTTAACCCGAACGATGGCACTATTCATGAGTTGTAAACATAACCTCCAAATCTCTGTTGCACCTTTAATAGCCATATCCTCAAATAACCCACACCAGCGGGACAAATCCTGCACAATTATATTTTCAATAAGTAAACGCCTTCAAAAAATATCCAGCTATGCAGACTGCGTCAAAGTTAAACACATTTTTTACATTGATTAAAATTTTGTAGACATTGCCACGCATAAAATACGCACGTCATAACACAAGAAAACACAATTTTTAAAAACACCATGACCTGATGAAATTATTTGCAATGGACCAGACAGTGCATTGGGAAATTGTATTTGCATATCAAATATACATGTATATGTAACTTAAAATCAAGCAGTACGTAACAAAGCGAATGAGCGTTTTACCTTAGTTCAAACCTCACGTAGGACGCTCCCTTGCCTCACACCCAGCACTATTTATATACAATACGTGCAGTTTGGGGCAAAGTGGTTTTACAGAGAAAGCAGGAAGAGCCAGAAGCAGATTTTATTTAAGTGAAGTGGTAGAAAAGCTTATGTCCGGTCCCTCTTGCTCAAAATGTGCTTCAGACGTGATGAATTAGGCGGAAAAGATAGAATTAGCGGGAACATAACCAGGATGGGGGGAATGAGGAATGAAAGCCTTGTTGAAAGAAGAGCACGCTGCAAGTTTAAGAAGGGCAGTGCTCAATGTTCCCGTCTGGAGTGTCACTGAAACGGCTGCTCCATGATGGGAATATTACGTCATCCTCGACTGTACACATACTGGTGTTAGAATTTGAAGTAGTTAGTTGTTTGGGTATATCGTTAAATTCATCTTGGTCATGAAAAGCCTACAAATTCTCGCTTTCTACACGAGAGATGGGTACAACATGTTTAAGTTTTTCATAATTGGGTTGTGTTTTGTGTTTTCAGGCAAGCTTTTATTGGAATATTTTTTAAAAATGATTTTTTCGAATGGTACATTTTATGAAGTAAATTCATTTTAAATAGTCTAAGCTTCTGTAGACTATATATTTTAACAATTACAAAATTAGTTTTACCAGTCAAATTTAGATTTTCTTTCATAAACACTTTAGTTTTAATCAGCTCTTCACCCGAGACGACCATCTGATGACAGAACTCCCGTGGACACAGGGATAGATGACAGCTTGTTAAATCTACCACAGATATTATCTGTATGTTGCTGTTGTGTTTTTAAATTTGATAATCACAAATAATGTCAAAATTTCATAGATTTTTTAAATAAAAAGTTAATTTAAATTAAAAATTTAAGCGACTGTGGAAACTCACTTTGGTATGTTTTAATTCTTGATCATTGAAATCACGTCACGCCTTGTCTAATTTATAGTTGGGGCAGATAAGTCATGAAGTTCTCTTTTTTTCTTTTGAAGAGGATTTTCTGTAAAACTTCAATATTCCCTTAGATCCCACTATATATCACTTTGGAACAATTTAGAACTTTCTGGAAAATTCTAGATTAAACCTGCTCGAAACATGTATAAAAACTACTTACATAATTATCTTTCAAATACGATAAAACCTGTCGTCTCTGGTTTGAAATATCAAGATATCTAATTTTCTGTTTCGGTTTAATCCTGAAGTGTCAAAGTGTCCTCTTTTTATAGCCATTTTCATTGTTTCTATAGAATAGTATTTACTATCCTAGTGTCTCATTTGTATTTACTTAGTTTACATGTTTTAATAATTGTAAAGCGCTTAGAGCTTTATGATAAGCGCTATATAAAAATGCCTAAATAAATAAATAAATAAATAAAAATCTTCAACAATGCTATAATTATCATCCTTTTTCTTTTAAGTTAATCGAGGGGCCCCGGGGGCCCATTCCATAACAGTACCGATATAGGTATACCTGGGCTAAGGGGCCCTATACAATCAGACAGATAAATAATAACGATCAAATTTAAAATTTGTCCCATAAATATCTACTTAAAAATGCCATAGATATAGTTGTTTTTTTAAATTGTGGAAGTTTCTGGAAAATTCTAGATTGGATATTATTAGTTTTCAATCCACCGATATATCAATACAGCCAATGAAGAGTATTGCTACAACGCTAGGCCAATATCCATCAATTCACATAGAAACTATAGTGTTGTCTAAACCGATTGATATTTATATAGCTTATATAAGGAAAAATTAACTGGGAACCCCGGCCCCAGAGAAATGGATACTTTGAGTTCAGTATCCTTTGGTATTTGAATATGGATACTAAATTATATGCGTACTAAGTTTGGTCAAGATCAATCTACTCATGTAGGAGTATTTGTTTCTAATTATTTTTATATAGTTCATATAAAGAAAAAACCGAATTCGGGGCCCCCGGCCCCAGACGTAATGATATAAAAAGTTCATAACCCCTTAAGATTTCTTTCTGGATCATGCTGGATATATGTACCAAGTTTGGTCAAGATCCATGAATCCATGTAAAAGCCTTTGTGGAACAAACCCACAAAATTTCACTTTTTTTTAATATATGATATGAAATGATATGATATTATACTATATGATATGATATGATATGATACGATATGATATGATATGATTTAGAAACACTACAGGAAACAAGAAAAAATTTAATTGAGGGAGATAACTCCAAATATTTGATTTACATTGATCAACATGTGTAAATAGGTGCAATCTTCTTTAAAAGTCGTATTCTAACATTTGGAATACTTTATTTGTGTGATTATATGACAACTATTATTTGATTCAAGTAATAAGAAAGTGTTCAAGGGAAAACCAGAGACGACAGGTTTTGAGAGTTTTGAGGAATTAAGGTTTGAAATTCCTCATGCAAGTATAAAAATATCAAGATATCTAAATATTTATTTATTGACTAAGCTGCTTTTTTCAGTTAGGCCTATGTGCCATATTATTCTATTGAATTGAATGTAGCCACGGGGGAAATAGCCTAAACATTTTGAAAAACTTAAATCACTGGGTTTTTCCTTGAACCCTTCATTTATTTATAGTTACTGCTTGTTTCTTTTTAACATGGGTAACAAACAGAAGTCTAGTCGACCATTAAAACGAAAATGTTTTGACACAAAATCAACTAGATCAGTTGTTGCCACTGTTTGAACAGAAGAGTGACCTATTATCGAGGCTAATAAACCTTGCTTATCTGCCCAAAAAAAAAACAAAAAAACTTTAGGAGCAACATTGTTTAGACAATGCATGTGTGCCAGCAATGGACTTAGCTTTATTGATTTAGGCCCATTGTTTACATTTTTATCAACTAATATGAGGTGTGATCATCGCAGTGAGTACACTATGTCATTTGAACTCCATATGAAAGTTTCCGAAGTGGATATGCACATGGTACCAGAATCAAGTGTATAACCTGTCGGAAATGGGAGACGACACTAAAAAAGTCGAGAAAGAGAGTCTAGTGAGCACAAAGAGGTGAATCTGAGAACGGTAGCATTTGCCCGAGCTCAAATGAAGACTGATGTAAAAGCTCTTCTACACCATATTGGTTCTTCGGATAAGCCACCTAATTAGACATTTTGCCTATGCAACTCTTGGTGCAAATAGAAGATTGATCCTACCAAAAACAAGCACAAAAATGACCTCCCGGACGCAGTTGTCCACTTCCTTGAGCCTGCATGTCAGGATCTAGCCAACGAGCAGTTGCTCAGTAAGTGACTTCACAGAAACACTCAAAAATACAACGAATGCTTAAAAAAGTTAATATGGGATCTTTGATCAAAAGATTATTTTGTTGAAAAAGGAACAATGGAGAAGGAAGTCCATAGTGCAGTGTCACATTTTAACGATGGAGCTTCATCTATATTAAAATTATTTGAACAACTTGGGATCTAGAGTGGATATTTCACAGAGAAAAGCTGCATACGGGGGGGGGGGGGGGGTCCACTTAAGGAAAAC